CTTCATTGCTCCTACTTAATCGTCTCTGGGCTATCTAACAAACACTTGGTTACATTGAGAAAGAACAAGAAGAGGCGTTGGTCGGGCGAGTAGACTGTCACTCAGTCAGGTTGTTATTGATAGACATTTGATTTGACACAGAAAACTGGCTCACATCATCTAGTCGAACTCTGAGAACTCTCTATTGATTCACAATTACTCCATGCACCTCATAGTGAACGAGAAGAACCAGTTATAAATATGAAAACTCCACGATGCCTTATTTGATATACATTTTATATGGTAAGAAAATTGTTAGTTATGAGACTAATAAATCACTTCGAAACAGCAAGCAGGCAGTACATTTACTTTTCCTATTCGATTAATAGCCTATTGTAACTATTTCTATTAATTTTTCGTTTATATTCTTATCGACATTATTATCAACATAAATGTAATCCCAATTATTTCCCCATACTCTAACTATGGAATATTAAATGCAATGTTGTCCTGCATGCTGATTATTTCGCACTGTATCAACAGTACTGCTATGAATAGATCTATTATCATTATTATCATTCTTATCATTGTTATTGGAACCAGAAAGTGTATCGATAAATCGTCATTGATTTATGAATTTGATAATTCTACCTAATCTACTCGTGAGTAGTATAATATAGAGTTACAAATTATTTTATTATCATTTATTCCAGGCTACGTACTAAAACTTAGAAATTCTCTAACTGATGTCAGCTCATGATGAAATCCTCCAAGCAATCAATCAAACAGAAAGTATCCCTACAAAGCCAATACTTGAAGATAAGATTCTGTTTATCAATTATCTAACATATACAAGCAAAATAATAGTGTCATGATGTCAGTGACATTATTATGGTCAGTACTACGGTTCATTTGATAACAAAACCACTAAGCATGTGGCAGAGTGACAAGTATTGTGTTCGAGGGATATGATACTGTTCATCACTGGCAATGTTTCCTGGAACTAACTGATTGGAATCACAGGATATGTGTGCACCCAGTATATATTCATTAGTAAAGAAAAGCACCGATTTGTTTCAGTAAAGAAATATTTCCTTTCCAACAACTTCATTTTTGGATGGTTTAGCTGTATTTACATTACAGTGCATTACCTGCTTCGAAAAAAGTCTCAGTCACTTTACAGATATAATTGACATGTTTATTCATTAATGGGTGGATATAGTTGTGGTGAATGAATTGGCAAATCTTTTTTAAGATTATTCAATAAATGAATTAGTATGAAGAATTCTCAGAGTAGATCAAGTGGTGTCAGAAAATTAAAAGAGTTTAGTAATGATAATAACAACAAAGCCTAAGATGAAAAATCTGATGCAATATATAGATACGATCTTTTCAGCCTGAAAATGAAAAATGGGGTAAAGAAACACTTCTCTCCTGAATGAAATTATGTTCTTCCTTGATTACAGGATTTGATCATGAGAACTCTTTGTAATCAGGAACTCTTCACAGTACGCACCCACCTCCAGGGTCCGATCCGAGGACCTTCTGGTTATAAGGTGAGCTCGTGGACCACTAAACCACTAAACCAGTGTGACCCTATCCAATAGCCAACCCATGAATTCCAACTTCTGCCAATTCACAATATAGAGCGAACACTAGGTAATCTCTTCGTCGAGTATTTGTCCTTACACCGGATCTGATGTACCCCAATGGTCACACTTTCCGACTAGAACCCAAGTAACTACCTACCTCTCAAATGGTTCTCTAACCGATGTCAGCTCATGATGAAATTCTGTAATCCATCAATCAACCAATCAAATCCCTACAAACTAATACTTGAAAATGTTCTTCCTTGTTAACTTATCCGTCAGTTGACACTGGATATTTACTAATGGTCGAATAACAATATGCATTCATATACTGGTATACAAAGCGATAAGTTTAAAATATATATGTCTGTTCAACAAAAATGTAATCATTTCTAGAAACACAGATTCATTGTAACCTGAAGATTGAGATAATGACTTGAAGTCTCAAAAACATAAAGTGGTACTCATGATTGCGTATATTTATATCTATGTTACAAGTGTCGGTTTGTAGGGATTGGATTGGTGACAGGTTTGATCGCTAGTTGACATCAGTTAGAGAACCGTTGGAAAACCTGGGGAGTATTGGACATCTGTTTCATCCTAGTTTGGGACGGTTGCGCTGTATATATATATCTTTATATATTACGGATTGGCAGAATCTGGAATTCATAGTCCTTTGGATCGGGCTGAATGATCCGCGTGCTCGCCTTGTGAGCTGAAGGTCCTGTGTTTGGACCCCAGTGGCTGCCCATTGGAGAAGAGTTCAAAACTGGGACGAAACAGCCATGCAGTACTCCCAGGCTTTCCAGTGGTTCTCTAACATATATGTACATCAATGATTCTATTATGAATACATCACATGGCTTACGACTAGATCGATGAATACAATAGGTTATTAGCTAATATGATTATACATCATATATGATGATTTTTATAGAAATTATGTGTACTCTAACTGTTAGCCTCAAATAGAATACTCTAAAATGATTATATGAAGTTTATTGTTGAAAGCTTAGAAATTATTGTCTCAGTGAAACTTTTATTATTATTATTAGTATTCATACTTTGAGTTTTGTGGGGACTTTGGACTAACTTCAGTGAGGATTTCATCAAGGTGCCGACGGGAGTGGCATACTTCTGAATTGTGTCAAAAATGAATAATGTAAGATTTTCGATTGATTGGTTCTAGATGAAATCTATTCTGATCTGTTGTTATCAATGATTTGATTAACTCAACATACACAAACATAAAGTTAGGATTGGAGGCCTTCATCAACTCGGAAAGACAACCGTTTCGCATAATGAGTTTCTAGGATATAATTATGTAATATAGCGAATTCTTTATGATGGTTAGATTTGTAAAGGCTAGGCGATTCTTCCAAACATTTAGCATTAATGACGTAAAATACATTTTTCGCTGTGTATATATATATGGGTGTGTCTGGTATGACAATATAAGTCCTATTTATTTTATTTTGCAAAGTCATTTATAATGAGATAATATATTATTATTATTCCCTTGGGTTCGGAGTGAAACATTGGGCTTCAGCAACACATCTCCACTTTCTTCTATTTTCTACTGTCCTGTTCATCTGGGTCCACGATTGTCCTTAATCTCTCATCTCTTCCTCAGAAGATCTCCTCCATGTCACCTTCGCGTCAACTACCCACTCGTCTCTTCGCACTGCGATTCCACTCAAGCAATGGCCTGCATTACGCGCGATGTCATTCGACGGTTTCCTCAATGTATGCCTGATCCATTTGCATTTTCTCCTGAATATTTGTTGAGCAATCGGCTCTTGGTTGTTTTGTTGTCAGGGTTTCTTTTTGCTAATCCACTCTGGTTGGTTGGTCATTTGATCTTCAGTATTGAACCAGTCAGCGAAGGTAGCTGTTGATAAAGTTGTGTATAACTATTTGTAAATCCTTTTCGTGACACGCAGTGCGAGTTTCTGACCCATATAGAAGAACTGTCTGACTTCAAATTTGTGTTGAACAGAATCCGAATCGATGCTACAGAGTGCAGAACATTTCCAAACTGGTTTCAGGTTGATGAAGGAGTATCTTGCCTTCCCGACTCTGGCTGACCTTGACATCTTCATCCGTGCCATCCGCTTGTGACTGAAACGTTGCTTCCTAGATAAGTGAAGGAAGTTACCTCTGTCAAATTTCTCCCGTTGATGGTGACTGGTGCTGTTTGTTGCTGATCTTGGTTGGTTATCTTCATCACCTTCGTCTTCTCTATGTTCACCTGGAGTCCTGTCTTCGCTGCCTGCCACTTCTGCCAGTTTGTTGGTTTTCGCCTGTAAGTCTTCGAGTTTGTGTGATATTAGACATGTATCATCTGCGAAATCCAGATCTTCTAGAGTCTTCTTATCGGTGGTCCCGCGTACTCCTGTCTCCCCACTCCCTAGAGTCTGACGCATAATCCCGTTCACCACAATTAAGAATATCATTGGTGATAATAGACAGCCTTGTCTTATATGTATATATAATAAATTTACTACTGAAAGATTAGTGGTGTACACTTCTGAAGGGGTTTGCCCACACACACAGAGATTCAGTCATATACAATGAAACTGCTGTTCAACGCTTACTGACATCGAATATTTATTTATTTATGATGATGACGATTGGTGTTGTGATATGTGATGTACAAAACAGAAGAAAAATATTCCTAGATTATCACTTCATCAATTTCACAACATTTTAATTAATGGTTACTGAATTAAAAACATCAGGAATTAGATCGTGATCACCTGGTGATCGAATCATTCAAATTACTATTGTTATTTGTAAAGCATCGGTGGTTTAGTAGGAGAATACTCGCCAACCATCCATGTAGTGCTGGTTCAATCCCTGGATGACTCACTCCTAAAGCCTACCCATCTGTTAGCAGGCCCGGTAAAGAAGAAAGGTTCGGTGTAAGGCCAAAAGCCCTACTCCTTAAGATAGTAAACAACACTGCTACTGAAACTTCAATGCTGAAGCCTGAACCTCTATGTTCCACGCAAAGGAATCAAAAAGGTTACTGGATAGTTAATTCGTCCTTGTTTTGGACTCTTTAGCAGTACGTACCCATGATCTCACCCTAATTACATGGCAAACTCCGTATACAACAGCCCATATATATATATATACTACTGGTCACGACTTCCTACCTGACCTCCAGGCTGTTTCATCCATTAGTCCGTCACTACTAGTGATTACTCAGTCAGGTGTCAAGTTTTTCAGCAGATCATATTTCCACTTGAAAGATCTCAATCCATAATCATTTATGTGGTAGTGATGTTCATGATACTGACAGGTACTACAGTTTCGTATCAGTGAATTGTTGCCCATTATTAGTAGTATATCACATGAGAAAAGAAATTTGAAGAGAATTATTGCAAAAAAAAACTCTTTAAAAAGCGAAATCTTCAAACTTACCACTTTTTGTGTATACAATATCACTGAATAAATAGATCCATGTCAATGATCTGATCCAATTATATTTGATTATTTATTCCTTCTAAATATAAATGTAATCGATTCATAATATAGTGAGATAGTAAAATAACGTGATAATTATGTATATGATGTGATATGATATCGTGAGAGGCTTTTTAGTTGTTTTTTTATTATTATTATTGTTATTATTATTGAGGAGTTAATTATCCACACTTAATATATATTCAGATTGTGATTATGGTAATTGCCAGGCTTAACAACTGGTTCTAGTTAGTGTTCCATCGAAATTGCGACATATTTTTACTGAGAAAAGCGTTTTGAAGAAGCTGATTATGAATACATCCCCCTCCCACACACACATACACACATACAAACATACTTACGCACACACACACCCCAGAGATCAAAGCCGTGCTTACGCAAATGCAAACAAAACAACATACCGCTACACACATACACACAACACAAATACACGAGTGTGTGCATTCATGCATGCATGCATGCATGCATTAATCTAAGTTGGAGTGTGTTTGTATCAATCATCAATGGATTGACCAATAGAAATTCAGTTGTATGCATTTCACTGTAAAGTATACAGATTAATTGACCACTTACAATTGAGTATTTTTCAACCCAAATCATGTCAAATGATGAAGCCATTTTGAAAAGAAATGAGGGAAATACAATGTGAATGCAAAAAGAATGTAATCTATGAACGCCACAGATTTAAATATGTTGTATTATGTAATAATAATATAATGCAAATCAATAGAAGCAATAAGACAAATGATCAAGAAGGACATTTCTCGTCTAAAAAATAATCAGGAGCGATAAGAAACCAAAACACGTGCTTATTTCGGACATAATCTAAACAATCGTGACTTGTGTTTTGTATTTTGGTTTGGTGTTGTTTTCTTTCGTCATCGGTGAACTTTGTCATATATACCGACCGATATCATAATCAAAGTGATCTAAGACATTTGTGAAGTATACGCTTTAAAAAAACAGTTTCTCAGTATTATATATACATATAGCGGTGAAGATTTTACATCTTGTCAAATTCTATAAACTTCACCTACTAGTACTAGTACTACTAGTGAACTGTATTACGTAATCTTTTACCGAGGTGAAATGTACATTTTTATTGGATTCTTGAAACTTTTGGTATTACATTACCCTAACGTATTGATTACTTAATAGATTGTTTTAGCGAATTTTCAGCCTTAGAAATGGGGTTTTTTGTAACAAGAAAATAATATATACGTAAAACTTGGGGACTGTGGAAGTAGGTAATTCCATATTAGTTTGTTTATTAGATGTATCACACAGTGAGACAGTATTATTTACTAGAAATAGCACTAAGTGGGATAGACAAAACAACGGCTGACGAAGTAAGGGGACAGTGCGCACTTACATTGAAACGACAAAAACGTGGAAAGCCTAACCTGACAAAACCAGAGATAGAAACCCTAAAACACCTTAAGAAGAACAAGGATAAAGTAATCACAAAGTTGGAAAAAGGAAGTGCAGCAGTTGTATTAGACAAATCAGACTATTTGAATAAGGTGAATACTCACAGAGAAACAGGACCATATGAGGAAATTAATAAATCAATAGAAACAGTTATGAATAAAGTTAAGAAATCAACAGCAGACTTTATACTCCGAATGAAGCCGTTTCTAGGTGGGTCTAAGTGGTTTAATTTAATGCCCAAAACTAATAACCCCAGTAGGATGTATGGTGTTGTTAAAGTTCATAAGTCAGGATACCCTATAAAACCTATAGTTGATTTTAGAAATTCACCTACTTACTAATTGTCTAAATATTTAGCCATGGTATTAAATCCCCGTAAAAGCTACTCGAAATCTAGACTAACAAATTCTTATGAACTAAAACATAGACTAGATAATTTAAAGTTAGATAATGAAGAAAAAATGGTTAGTTTTGACATTATCAGTTTGTATACACGTAAACCAATAAATATGGCTATAGAGGCAGTCAGAAACGAACTCATTTCTGACCAAGAACTGGAACTTAAGACGAAAGTGCCACTTGAGGACATAATGCTGGGGGCGCAGCCGTGCCTGACTTCCACAGTATTTAAACTCCAAGGGAAAATATACAAACAAACTGAGGGAGTTGCCATGGGATCACCAATATCCCCGATTGAAGCAGATATATTCATGGATAGGTGGGAAAACATAGCAACTGAAACGTTCACCCCCGCCGCAAAAGTATGGTGGAGGTATGTAGATGACACCTTCACTGTCTTTAGAACACATGATAAAGATAGATTTTTCGAGCAGATTAACTCAAAGGTGGAGGAAATTCAATTTACTTATGAATTGGAAAGTCAGGAAGGGAAACTACCAATGTTAGATTGCAGTGTAAAAAGGAAAGAAGATGGGAAGTTAAACACTAGTGTTTACAGGAAACCCACACATTCAAACAGATATTTGGACTTCCGATCATCCCATCCTATGTCAGTAAAAATAGGATAGGTGAAAAGTTTAAGTGATAGAGCACAAAAGCTAGGTAATACGAAGGAAAATCTTAGACAAGAAGTGATGCATATAACAGAAGCCTTGAAACTTAATAATTACGCTGATAAATTAGTCAGGAATTATGTAAGGAAATTTAAATATGAAATAAATAATGATATTAGTGATAGTGATAATAATAATTATTATAATGACGACATGCATGTCGAATATGCGCAAGACAACATCAACAATAAGGAATCTAAATCATCAGTAGTAATTCCATTCAAGGAAGGAACCTCGGAAACCTTACGCAGAATTCTTAAGAAGGCAGGAATAAAAGTGGCTGGCATTCAAACGCACAAACTCAATTTGAAACAAGCTGTCCTGATATGGAAGGTTGAATGACCAGTAGGAGACGATAAACAAGCAGCGAAGGACTCTGAAAGTATAGCCAACCAACAACTTATTGCCCAACTAGCAAATATTCGGAAAGAAGTAGGCATTACACACCAGGTAGGTCCCATAATGGAACTTAAATCGGAGGTGACGAGTTAGAAGTTTGATAATGACATGAAGAAGATTATGTGAGCAGGAAATGGAAGTTGGTGAGTAGTCATGAAGCTAGTCAAAAGTGATGATAGGGAGCAGAGTGAAATGGTGATGTGCTGCTGAATCCAGATGTTCAACTGAGAACCCAAAGAATGAATAATGGTAGTAATAATAATGACAATTAGATAATTAAGAACTACAGAGCGTAATCCTGTAGCTTTCTTCAGCCTAATACCTGAGACCTACAGCTAAATTTTAGAGTAATATACTAGCCCTTCTCTCTCTCAGAATATATACTCACACATTAGATTTGGTCGACACACTTAGAAAGAGAGATTGTTAACAGAAGCGTTGTTTGTCGAATCAACTGCAAATACATGTAATAGGAATGATTCATCCCAGTCCCGATATCTGGAAAATTCTACTATCCCAATGACGACAAATAGGAGACAACAAAGAAAAGCATAAAACTCAAGTTTCGAAGTTATGTGATTATAACTGATGAATGATTATGAAAAATAAATTTTGTTCGAAACTTTGTCATCCAGTAAATAATACTGTTTCACTCTGTGATACATCTAATAAACGAACTAATATGGAATTACTTACTACCACAGTGCCCATGTTTTACACATATATTGACACACTTAGAGGCTTTTGAGTGAGACACCGATCGCCATCCACAGACCAATTTTTTGGGTTTGACCCCTGTCAAAATTCTGATGTCTTTAAATTTTGGTAGTCGTTATGACAGTTACCACATTATTCGGAAGATCATGCCAGTTAAAACTACGGGTGACACTGGCTAACTATGACGCTATATATATATATATATCATGAATTGGCAGAGGTTAGGATTTATCAGAATGTTCCATTGGTTGGCTGTTAACATGCTTACCGCATAACCTGAGAGTCCTGCTTTTGGTTTCTAGTTGAGTCGTGGTTGAGCACTACTGAAAAGTTCCAGACTAGAATTAAGTTGATATTTGAGACGGAAGTACACAAGTTTATACAGTTTTTACTTCTAACAATCACACAAATAGGAAGAGAAACGAAGGTGGTAAATATGAGTGAAAGAAGGAAAACCTTTAGAATATTAAGAGAAGACAGGCAGTAGATCCACCTTTACTACTGTAATAAATTTTGAGCCACATTACAGAATCTCCAACCACTGATTTCTAACAATGGTAAGAACAACACAGTGACTTGATCAAATGTTTTCATCTAAAATCACCTTGAACGCCTTTTCAACGTAGTTCCGCTTCATCTAGCATTGTTCATTGAGGAAATAGGTGGATTGGTATGAGTGGTACGTACTCTAGCTACGTTATAACCCCATGGATTGATTCAACTTTCTTACCTAAGATTTTACACGTAATCTCTGTACTGGTTGCCAAGTTGCCACACCTAATAGGGGCAATACAATAGAGACACTTATAGTCGGAACTCCGTAGTTCCTTCATATTCTCTAAATTCAGCTTCATATTATAAAGAGAACTACTGCACAGTAAATGCACTCTTCGATGATCAGCTAAATAGTATGGTAGCGGAAGGCGTATTGGAAGTTGACAGATGAAAAATACGCCTTCTGTATTCATGCTGAGTTTTCGTTAACAACCAGCCGATTATAAGGCTAAATCAACTCCCAAGATGAATGAGGTGGTCTGTATATTCAGTCATTTCACTCATTATCTGTAATCGGGGAGTCAGTGCAGACTACGCTTGTATCATCAGTTTGCATTTTATAGTGGTTAACTCCATTCCATATAATTATTACATTATTATTGTTCAGAGTGGAAAATAGGGCTTCAACAGCACTTCTCCATTTTGTCCTAATTTCTGCGGTCTTCTTTAGCTGGCCCCACGGTTGCCCACAAGCTTTCATCTCCTCCTCGCACGGTCTTCTCCATATCATCCTCCAATGCTCCACTCATCGTCTCCCATTAGGGTTCCACACTAGCGATGGCCTGGCCCATGCTGTCATTCAATAGTCACCTCGGCGTGTATGCAATCTATCTCCGTTTAATAATAATAATTTGCTTTATTCCAGAAACAGTACTAGTGGTACAGTGTGGAATTTTCAGCACATATCTACAATATTTGCATCTAATTTTATCCGACGTTTAAAAGGAGTATTTCAAAGAAAATAAATATAAAGACAACAACAGTAAAAAACACAAAAATAATAAAACAAAATGCGAAAAAATACCAAACAATAGAAAGGAAAATAAAAAGCATATAATAATATCTCAGTACTGGGTATTGGAAGCTATGATATGATTATGCATGGTGACAGTAAAGCTATAGTCATACAAGAAGTTATGAAATGATATTTAAGAACGTTTATTTCCAAGATGATCAGTTAATTTGGTTGAAACAACT